TCTGAACTCAGAAGATGTGAGTCTTCCTGACTCCAGGCCCAACCATTATCTTTTGTACCACCTAGCTAGCCTCTTCTCTCATTTTTATAGATAAGGAAACTGAGAGGGTAAGTGACTCTTCTCCACGATGCCTGAATGGGTCATGAGATCTATAGCTAGCCAGAGCCTTAAAGGTCCCGTAGCTTTGTCTAAAGTCATACAGTCACCAAATGAGGCAGAGCCAGGACCTGAACTGAGACCCAAGGTTCCCGCCACCATGCCATGCCTCCCCATTTGGTCTTTCAAGTTAGAGAGACCCTGTCCCAGCCTGAGGGCGAAGCAGGGGCTCAAACTTCCAGAGATTATGGACTGCATCTGGATCGCTGGGGGGGGGGGGCAGCCAAGTGGCCTGACCCGCAGGCTCCGGGATGCTTGTTTCTCAGGAGTCACTGGATCCACGGTCTAGGAGCAGAAGGGCTTCACCTGATCCATCCTTCCTCAGGTTCCTCATGACCACGTCAGCTTGTGATTGTTAAAGTTCTCCCATCCCCTACCCACCAAAAATGTTTCCTGTATATTTATTCCATATGGCTCCGAGGGGTTGGGTTTTGCCCTATCTTCCTGGGATTCAAACCTCCATTCCACTTCCGCCACAGATACCATCGGACCCCCTTTTCCTCCCTTTGATAATTTCTCCCTCCCACCTCATTTGAGTGTCAGAAGAAAGTGACTTTTATTTGTATACCCAGCCCTTAGCACATAGTAAGTACTTCATAAGTTCTTGATCTAGCTAGCTATTTTCCATATGCTTATTGGTGCTTATTTTATTCCCCCCCCCTTATGGATGGTAAACTCCTTGAGGGCAAGAATTGTTTCATTTTGGCTTGGTAGGCTCAGCATCCAGCACATAGTAGGGATTCTGTCTAAATGCTCTTTGAATTAAGTTTAATTAAATAGCAACATTCCATCACAGTATCTGTCTCTGCGTCCTTCCCTAGACCCTAGGACGCTCAAGGGTTGAATTTACTTATGGTTTGATTGTGGTTTGTAACTCATGCTCCGCCCTTCACAGCATCCTCCAACCTAAGCCTCCATCCCTGTGCCACTTCACAAGCATGTTCCCAAACCCTCCCCTCCCCCAAAAAAATCAGCCTTCTGGATCCCAGTCGCAAAACAGCAGAGAAGGAGATGCTTCCTCCACCCCAGGAAGGTTCAGTCCAAGACAAAGGTGATAGCCACTCAAAAAGCAACCTCTTCCCTGGGGTGTCTGAAGCTACTGCCTTCTCTAGGTCTCTTTTTCATATTCTCGGGCAGAAGGATTCAAGGAAAGGGTATCTTGCTTTCTGGGTGGAGAAAACTAGGGGATTCTCCAGTGAAGTTATATAGTTTACTCCTACAATCTTAACGTGCAGGGAGACAATAGTGCAGGAATGGAAGCATTGGGTAGAGGAAGGGAAAGAATCCGAGCCCTAGCTCCTTTTCCAGCACTACTCTCTCCCACAGAGGAACCCAGAAAAACCTGACCCTCAGGCCTCAGTTTTCTTATCTGCAAACTGGGAGGATTTAGACCACATGATTTCTAAGGCACCTTCCAGCATTAACAGTCTATGACCCTATGAAATCACAGAAATTTCCTGTGTTTAACTTCTCTGGACCTCAGTTTACTCTTATTTAAAATAAGGAGATTGTACTGGATGGCTTCTAAATTCTCTTCTAAGTATGAGTTCTAAGATCTTGCTGGACCCATGAAAGCTGACCTGCATAGACTTAATCTCTGGAGCTCCCTTGTCAATCCTGACACCTCGTGGCCACCCTGAGAACTTCTCATGATACTTCAGTACAGGCCAACCTCATTTTGAGTAAACCTAATATTAACTAGTAATAATAGCAGACACATAGCTATTAATTTCACATAAAATATTTCTTTTGAGCCCCACAATAACCCTAGGAGGTATGTGGGACAGGCATTAGCTTTCTACAGATAAGGAGATTGAATCATAGACTTGTCACATAGATTGTGACTTACCCAAGGTCACAGTAGCTGGTAAAACCAAAAATCAAGCTTGGGTCCTCTAACTGAAAACACAATGATCTTACTGTGCCTAGATATCTATTCATAATGATCAATCACATTTACATAGCATTTGAAGGTTCCCAAAGCCTTCACAACAACTCTTAGAGGTGTATGATCTGAGTATCATTTTACTTCTGGGGAAACTAAGTCGGGGGAGATTTAATTTCAGTAGTTTTGCAGAAATGACCAAATCAGGAATTAGGAGAACTTTATTTTTTAAATGTGTCATTAAATAATATGGTTGCCCCAGGAGATGGAGAATTTGTTTACATAAAAATATTGCCTATAACTTTTTATAAATGCATCTCCTCCCTCCTTCCTAGACTTGGAGTCCCAGGACCTCTCTAGATTTTCATTCCAATCCTGCTTGCTAACTATGGGTAAGTTACTTTACCTCCTGAATTCTTTTTCTATAAACTGAGAATAATATTTGCCTTCTGTTATGATGAAAGCACTTTGTAAACCTTATACTACTATGGTTTCTAGCTATCATAATACCTTTCCAAATACTTTGTTCAGCTGTGTCTGACTCTTTGTGACCCCTTTTGGTGTTTTCTTGGCAAAGATACTGGAGTGGTTCTCCATTTCCTTCTCCAGCTCATTTGACAGATGAGGAAACTGAGGCAAAGAAAGTTAAATGAGTTGCCTAGGGTCACACAATTAGTGTCTGAGGCCAGATTTGAACTCAGGAAGATGAGTCCTGAGAATGATGAGCCTGGAATTCTATCCACTGAGCCACCTAGCTACCCCAAAAATGTTGTTGTTAAGTCATGTCCAACTCTTCATGCATGACCCCATTTGGTGTTGTCTTGGAAGAGATACTGGAGTGGTTTGTCATTTCCTTCTCCAGCTCTACAGGGTTAGGATTACAGATGAGGAAACTGATGCAAACAAGGTTAAGTGATTTGCCCAGGCTCACACAGCTAGTAAGCATCTGAGGTCGGATTTGAATTCAGGCCCAGCACTCTATGCACTGTGGCACCACCTAAGGCTGAGTTCAAGTTCTGTTGTCTCAGGACCAATGTCAGAAGACCTAGATTTAGTAGAAACTAATTGGACAAGGGGGCCCAGTGAAGGAAAAGGTAGACCAAGTACAAGCCTATGCTAAGCGACGGTGTTTAAATTTCAGTAAGCATAGCTCCCATATATAGAACTCTTTAAGGCTTGCAAAGCAATTCCCCCACCTCCCCCACCCTGTTATGTCATCTTTGCCTCATACCAAGCCTGTGGGAGTTGGCAATGTGTCATTATTCTCCCCTATTTCAAAGACAGGAAACTGTGGCTCAAAGATGCTTAGGACCTAAACTTTAGGTGACTTGTCACAAAGCTAAGTAAAAATCAGAACTGGGAGTTGAACCCAGGTTTCCTGTTTCCAGGTTCAAACCTCCATCAATGGAAACACAGATGTCTCAGCATTGATGAGTTGGGCTCAGAGAATGCAAACCACCTTAGTTCCTGGCGAAACCAATACCAACTGGTAAAATTAAAGTGTAACCGGGTATTTATAACACAAAGTGTTCCTGTTTTTGTATCCCTGACTGGATAAGAACGTGACTGCCAATGCTAATCCCTTGGTCTGGGGTTATCTCTGGCAACCCCCAGTGGTAGGTCACAAACCCCAGAAGGACAGGACCTTGCTTTAGAGTCTAGGACTAGAAGGCAAAAGTCCTTGTGTCTAATCCTGGCTCTGTCTCTTACTAGATGCGTGCCTGTGGACATGTCACTTCACTTCCAGGAGCTCAGTTTCCTTTTCTGTAAAATGGGAGTAATAATGCTTGTCCCTACCTACCTGCCTCACAGGGTTGCCATTGTCAAGATCAGATTAGTGTATGGATGTGCACCACACAAACACAAGCGCTGGTCCAACCACCTGTGGAGTCCTGCTCACTTCTGGGCACCATATTGTAGGAAGGATGTTGGAAAGCCAGAAAGCATCCTCAGGAGGGCAACCAGAGTGGTGAGGAGCCATCATATGGTCCATTCCATGTGAGAACCATTGAAGGAACTGGGGATGTTTCACATGGGGAAGACTCATGGGGTACATGAAAGCTGTCTCCAAGTGTTTGAAGCCTTGTCATGTGCAAAAGGGATTAGACTTGGTCTCAAATGGCAAAATTAGGAGCTATGGATAGATGGTGCAGAGATAAACAGGCTTGATAATGGAGGAAACTTCTAGGGCAGTCCAAGAGTGAATGTATTTGGGAGGTAGTGGTTTGCACCTCACTGGATGCCTTCAAATACAGGCTAGATGACCACTCGGTGGGTGTGTTGTACTGGGAACTCTTTTAGGATAAGAATCTAGTACAAATTCGGACTTGTAGTAGATGACCACTATGATGCCTTCTTGCTCTAAAATTCTATGAGCTAGTATCTTCTCATCATTGTCCTCTCCCAATTACACCAATTTTGTCACCAGGGGAGAGAACTCTGGTCACCAACTCCAAATCACAGTGCTCTGTAATAGTAAGCACTTAATACATGCTTTTTCATTCATTCATTCATTCTACCTCCCATGTCAATCCTTTTTGTCTGTTGGTCACATCCTCTGCGGAGATCGTAAGAGAGTTTGAAGGGTCCTTGGGGCTCATCAAATCCAACCCCCTCATTTGGCAGATGAGGAAAGTGAGATCAAGAGAAATGGAGTGACTGACTCTAATCCGGTGTCTTCTTCACTGTACGATGGGCAAATCACTTCACTCCTCTCAACCTACTTCCCTCATCTGTAAAACAAGGGGGTTGGACAAGATGGCTTCTAAGGTCCTTTCCTGCTCCAAAATGCAATGATCTTCAGTAGCTTGTCACCCTCAACATGAGACACTCCTGAAAATTTGCTCTCATCTCAGCACAGGGACACATCAGCGAGAGACTCTATCCAACTTGTTACTGGCAGATGGTGCCAGTGGCCTGACCCAGCCACCAAAGGTCCCCAGAGAGAGCCGGGACCCAATGGCAGCAGACACAGTGGTTTTATTAATTGTCCTCCTCCAGAGGCACCAATTCAGCACATTTTAGGTCCCCTCAGCCTCAACCAAGGTGGGTGGCAGAAAAGCCAGATAGCTTATGGACTAGGAATCTGCCCCCAACTCCATAGAAGAAGGAAACTAGCTAACATTGGCTATTAAAGGGTTGAGACCATCCTTTGGAGGAAAAGAGGCTTGACCAATGGAGCCAGGGATGTTAGCAACCACATTTCTAGGCAGGAAGTAGCCCCACCTCCCCATGGGCCACCATGATCAAAGGTGCAACTGCAGAGTGAATGGGAGCTTAATTTATGTAGATAGTGCTGGGGAGAGATGGGCTGGTGTTTCAGCCTCGATTTATGCAAAGATGTAGGAGCTGGGGGGGGGGGCGCATTCCAAGAGGGCTGAAGGAATGGGTTGGGCCAGATAAAGATTTTCTTGGTTTCTCTGGTTCCTGCCTCCGGAATGCTCAAGTATCAGCCAGGCTCCAGGTTCCCAGCTCTCTGATTCTCTTTCTCCTTATCTCCTCCAGCCTTCACAATCCCAGCCCTTGTTCTGTGGCTGCTGAGCCTAGCCCCAGCTCCCAGGCCCTCACATGAGTCCCAAGGCACAACAGAGCCTGGATTGATCCCAGTTCTAGAAACTAAAAGGGTTGGGGCCCAATGAAGCCTTTTTTTTTTTTCCCAGGCATTCTGATCTAATTCGTACTGGCAAACTTTGATCAGAAGAAAAAATGGTTGGGCAGACATGCAAGTAATATGCAGATATAAGCTAATGAGCACTCTTCCCTCACCTTTAGGAGTTCCCATGGGAGCAGGGTATAAGGAGAATGAGAGGGACACCCAAGAAAGAAAGACAGAAATCAGAGAGTGCATAGTGTAGAGACACAAAGCCTAGCTTCCAGCCTCAACCCCCCCCCAGGTTTCCCCAAGAGTCAAGGGCTGAGGGAAGGGTGAAAACTCTAAAACTGAGCCCTTCTCCATCCTACAGAGCAACACCCACAGCTGAGATAGCTCCTAGCCCGAGGGGAGGAGGACCTGGATCAGGTTAGGGGTTCACCATCACACTGCTGTTGGTTACCCGGACACCAAACCAACCCTTCCAGTAGACTGTGTCCTGGCCTCCATGCTCAAAGCGGATAAATCGAACTCCTGGCCCATAGTTTGTGAAGGTGTGAGAGATCTGGGGAGATGGAAAGCAGGGTCATACACACACACACACACACACACACACACACACACACACACACCCTTCCTGGCTCTCAGCAGCACCCATTACAACAAAGGAGACAAAGATAAAACCAAAGCTTTCAAAGCCCCCTCTCTTCCTTTTCCTTCCCAACAGGGACTTCTACATGACAGTTATCCATGTTTTCAGCTTACTCACCACCACTAGACCATAACCTCCATGAAGATAAGGGCCATCCATATCTTCTCTTCTTTATATCATCTCCACCACCACCCCCAATACCTAGCACAGTGCTCTGAACTCATAAGTACTTTAATAAATATTTGTTCACGTATTCATCCCAGCAAACCTGCTCCGTGGCTCCCACTCCTCTCCAGCCTCATTTCTGCCACATTTACTCTAATCTCTCTCAATGAATCCCATCCTTTACAGTATTTTTAAGACCCTTCTTCAACACACACACACACACACACACACACACACACACACCCCTCCCTTCTTTCCCATAGCCTTAATTTTCATAGTTTGAAATAGCTTTCTGACACTTTTCAGGGGAAGAAAGAGTCCCTAAATTTTCTTCCCCTGCAATGGATGCAGTATTGGAGGAACTTGGAGCATATCCCAGCTCCACTTATTTGTTACCTGTGGGACCTGGAGTGATAACCTCTCAGGACCACAGTTAATGGCAAACTCAGGGACCTGAAGTAGATGACCTCTGTGGTCCCTTCCAACTCTGTCTATGATGTTATGATTTTGTACTGAGTTAGAAAATGAATTTCCTGAGTGTAGAGATTGCTCTACCCACCAGTGCTTCCCAAATCCAGTCTTTGAGCTCTGTCCTCCCTTAGTCAGGGCTTTACATACTTGGGACCTGGTTAGCAACAGAGACCGGCTACAGAACTAGGGCACTGTGGATCTGGTTTGGAATCTTTCCAGTCCAAGGAAAGAACTACCTGTCTTGAGCTCTCTTGTTCCCAGACCAGCCTACTTCAACCTTTTTGCCTTTTCTAGCCCTGAAGGTAGGAAACAGCTCTTAGCCCATGAACCTTCTTTCCTTCTCATCCCCCCCCAGCCCCTACCCCTACCACTGACCCCTGTTCTGAGTCAGCCCAGCCCTTCCTCTGTCTGTCCTAGGAGACTATATATATATATATATATATATATATATATATATATATATATATATATATATATATATATATATATATATATATATATATATATATATATATATATATATATATACTTCTCAGATTTCAGGGAGAGAACAGAACTGGTTTCTGAGTCCCTGTCCTTGGGGCTCTAGCCTCCTCCCTACTACTTTGGCCCTGTCCCCATCTCTATCCATTTGCTACGCGGGTTCAAGCCCTAATTTCAAGTGGGAAGGGACCTCAAAGACCATCTAGTCTAAGCTCTGCATGACTAAAAAACCCTCTACAACATCCTTGCTAAGGAATCACCTCACTTTGACTTAAAGATGAGTCCCCTGTCACCCTCTTGGACAACTCCAGTTGTGGGGAAAATTACCCTTTACATTAAACCTCTACAATTTCTCCTCACTATTCTACATTCTGCTTGGTCCCAGGGGTGAGAATGAGCCCATTCCTCTTCCAGGCAACTGCCCCTCAAATCCTTTGAGGCAACAGTCTTGCTCCATGCAAGCCTTCTCTTCTATGCTCCAGGTTACATATAGCAATTCCTTCCAAGGAATTGTACAGATCCCTCCAAATCAGATTACTTCATTTCTTTCCTACTTACTCTATGCTTCTCAGTTAATGATTTTTGTTTTACCCACCGTCACCAGCCATAGGCTGTATGCTCCATGAGGGACTTAAACTTCGTATCTGCTGCCTTCCACCTCTCCTTAGTTTCCTTGCCCCAGAGCTGGCCCCTTTTCTTAGGCTCAGCCAAGGTCCTGCCAGACAGGCCTTCCCCCAACCTCCCCAAGAAGGAAGAAGCCCCCAGCCCACTCCCAGTCCCCTCTGCTCTATGCCTTTGTCTAATTAAGCCCAGGCTGGCCCTGAATCATCATGTTACATTAGTCACCTCACTCCAACCCGACTCTCGGCCCGCCGGCAACGCCACCGTGTCGCTCCTATATTCGGCCAGCACATCATCATTCTCCGACAGCAGTTTCACACACAGCTCATATAGGCAGCCGGCATCACTCCTACTCGAGTACCTACAGGGGAGCCCTCTCCTCAGCCTGGCTCCCAATCCCACCCTTTTCTTCCCTCCCTAGGACTCTTCCACCCTCACTCACTCCCACCTCCTCCCCCTACTCCCAAAGAACCAACAAGTCCCTGCAGGTCTCAGAAGGGGGGTGATAGATTCTACATCCTGGCCACCAGCTCACCTCAGCCATACCCCTTGATCCACCATCCCTTCCTGCCCAGCCTAGTACCCTTCCATCCTCTCTCCCACCCCCTCTACAGAAAGGAGGCCAGCAAGTTACCACAGTTCTCGGAAAGTGGAGGAAGGCATTCCATGCCCTGGCCCACTCCTCAGCCTTAGCCCTCCCAGTCAACTCCAGCTGTTTCCCAGTTGGCAGAGCTGAAAGTTTTCCACCCCACCTCCATGGTTCCTGCATCTGCACCCCAACGGTGTGTCCCTCACCAGTCCTTCACCACGATAGAGGGCTGCAGAGTGTCCATCATTTCTTCCCAGTACCCCTCTGCCTGTAGGTTAATAACTTGGGCTTTGCGGCACCACCTTAGAGAGAAGGGGTTAATGGAAGTGAAACCCACCCCTGGCATCCCGCTCCTTTCCCCTACCCAGGTTCCATCCTGTTCCCTTACTCATAAGAAGTAACAAAGTATTTCTTGACATTCTCATCCTCCGGAAAATCAAAGCCATTGTCTCCAGGAATTTCCTCCACCTTCCAGCCATCTCCACCATTCTCGACCTCTTCCCAGGCCTCGAAATCATCTGTAGGGAGTCAAAAGCAGAGCCTGCCCATCCGTTGCAGCCATGGCACATCTGATTTCCCTTCTTTAAATCAACTGGGCCCAAGGCTGCGTAGTGTGGAGAGAAAAGCGGGTACTGCTTTGGCTTGAGATTGAAAAAGATCTTTAAAAACAAGAAATGTAAACTAGGACTGGCTGCTTGAGAATCCAGGCTTGACCTAGGCCTGGTCTAGTGGTTAGAACAAGGAGTGGGGCTTCTGAGCATCTGAGCACCACCATACCTCCTTTTTCTCCTGGGCCCAGTGAATTAAAGAAGGACAGTCCCTGAGTCATAAAGTACTTTGTTAAGTCACAAAGTACCATCCCTCATTTTTTCCTAGCCCCTATGAATCAATCAAACAAGTATTTATTAAGCATTATGTGCCAAAGCACTATACTAGGCACTAGGGATACAAAGGTAGAAGTGAAACAACCCTTGCCTTCAAACAGCCTAGCCCGTATCCCACAAGCACAAGGAGGGTCTTTGTCCTGAACACTCTGAGCTCTTCCCCAATCCCCCTCACAGAATTTCAGAGTTGTAGGGACCCTTCCTAATAAAGAAAAGAAAAGAAAAGAAAAGAAAGAAATCCTTCTAAAGCATATCTAAACTAAGTGGACATTCAGCCTTTGCTTGAAATGATGCATCTTCCTTCTGGGGAAAAAAAGCCCACTCCTTGCAGGGGCAGTCCATTTCACTTCTGGACATTTCCAATTGTTCAGAAGTTTGTCTTTACACTGAAAGAGCCAGAAATGGGCTCCTAGTTCCTTTCTTCTTTGAGAGGCAGGGAAGTACAAGAGATTTGAATCCACACTTTTAGGACACCTTTCTCCAATAACTGCTTAGACCCTCATTCTCAGAAGGGAAGAAATGGGTCAAATATGGAAGGGATAGTCAACAAATTGGATGACTAAACTAAGATCCCCAAAAAATCACAGCAACCCTTAGGAGTCCAGATTTAGAGGTAGAAAGGATTTTAGAGGTCATCCAGCCCAACTCCCTTATTTTACAGTTGAGGAAACTGAGGTCAGTGATGAAATGATTGGTCATATGGACAGAAAGTGATAGTGCCTGGATACAAACTCAGGTCCTTGACATCTCACAGCTTCTATCTCTATGTTGGGCTGAATCTATTAATATATAATTTAGTATAGATAGATGTAAAGTCCTGCTCTTGGATTAAAAAAAAAAAGCTATAAGTAGAGTATAGGGCTAGACCAGTGGTGTCAAACTAAAATAGAAGCAGGGGCCACCAAACCATACATAAGGATCCCTGTGGGCCACATATTGGCTTAGAAAAACATATTAACATTATCTATGTTCTATTGCATTCTTTAATTAATTCTGTTAAATATTTCCCAATAACATTTTAATCTGGTTCATTATAGCCCATGGGGGATGGGGTAGGAGGACACCTCTGGACTAGACAATAGTACCTGTGGAAAAAAGATCTGGGGCTCTGAGTGGGCCACAGTTCAGTATAAGTCAATATGCCAAAAGAGGGTGTGGTATTTTCAGGCTACATCAGTCCCTATCCAAGGTCCTGAATTCCGTTCCAGGCCCCCACATTTTAGGTAGGACATTGATAAGCTGAGGAGTGTGCAGATGAAGGCAGTTAAGATGGTAGAGCACCTCAATTCCATGGCATAGGAAGATAATTTAAAGGAGCTGGAGCTGGTTAACCTGGACAGGAGATTTGGGCCAGGGATGTGTGTGGCATGGGGTGGGGTGGCATGATCTCTATCTTCAGGTATTTGAAGGGCTGACTCAGGAAAGAGGATTTAGTCTTATTCTCCCTGACTCTAAAGGATAGAACCAAGGGCAGGCAAGTGTTGGTTTGATGTAAGAAGCTTCCATATTTTTGGATACTTTGGATACTTAGAAGCATCCAAGAACACTAGGCAGCCTCAGGAGTAGTGAATTCCCTACTACTGGCTGTCATGAGATCTAGAACTGAAAGTGTCCTTAGAAATATAGTCTAGGGGCAGCAGTGGATAGAGCACCGGCCCTGAAGTCAGGAGGACCTGCGTTCAAATCTGGCCTCAGACCAAACATTTGACACTTACTAGCTGTGTGACCCTGGGCAAATCACTTAACCCCAATTGCCTAAAAAAAAGAAAAGGAAAAAGAAATCTATTCTAACAACTTCATTTTACAGATGAGGAAACTGAGGCACACAGAGGTGGAATGACTTGGCCAGGAATCACACAGTTCTAAGTGTGGTGGGGATATGGGAAGAAAGCTGGGGTTAGAACCAAGAATTGCAGGCTGCTCAGCCTGAAGTTGGCTGGCCACTTGTCAGGGGATACTGAAGAGGTCCTACCTGGATACAGGTTGGCCTGGGTGCCCTCTGAGGTTCCTTCCAGCTCTAAAAATTCTATGGGTCTAAATAAGACATTAGATGCTGGTGTTTAGACACAGACACTAAAATGAGAGTCGAATTCAACTAAGGTTATTTAGGGGTGACCCTATGGAGGTGGTGGGTGAGTAGGGGGATGAGGTGACATGCAAATCCGTGTAGCCTACAGCCTGTCCCCAAACCTATCCACCTCCATTGCCAATGACACAGGCACTTTTATTGCTGATCAATCAGATGTCCCTTTACTTGCCTCAGTTGCCAGGTGGGGGAAGGGTGGTGGTGGTGGTTACAAGTTAAAATCTATATTTCTGACTTTCCTTCCCTCTCTCTCCTCTCTTTTCCCTCCGCTTTTACTTCCCCTTCTTTCTCCCTTCCATCTTCTTCCCCTCCTCTTTCATCTCCCTTTTTCCTTTCCCTCCTCCTCTTCCCTTTTAGTTGCCCCTCCCCTTCTCTTTCCTTCCCCTCCCCTATACTCTCCTCCCTCCCCTTTCCTTCCCCTCTCCTTTCAAGTCCCCTCCCTTCCCTTTATCCTTTCCTCTCTTTCTCTCCCATATCCTTTCTCTTTCCTTTCTCTCCTCTCCTTTCCCTTCCTCCTTCCCTTTCCCTCTCTTCTCTCCTCTCTCCTTCCCTTCACTCCCCTTCCTCCCCAGGTCACTTTTCTTTACCTTCTCCAAAAACGTTCTTGAGCAGATTCCTTTTCCGCTTGCTGAGGAAGTAGAAGAGCATCCAGTTTTCCCGATCCTCCTCAACCTGATCTTCCCTTGCCAGTCCTTCCTGCTGGCACTTGAAGACCCAAAGCGCAGCACCATCCACCAGGGCTTTCCACTGCAGACACACCAGGCGGCATATGTGCACCAGCTCAGTGGCAGGCAGTGAGGCCAGAATTTGGATCAGGACAGGATCGGGCAGGTCATCATGCACGCTTCTTGCTGATCCAGACACTCTGGAGACAGATTGGGTAGAAAAGGGAGGAGAATTCTCATCAGTCCTCTGCCTTGGGATCACAACTTCTCTTCTTCAAGGATCTCCTCTGAAAACAACAGCTAAAAATATCAGCTCCCACTTATCTTTGAGAGACAATACAGTATAGCAGAAAGGGCACTGGGTCTGGAGTCAAAGGACTTAAATTCAAATTCCAGCTCTGATGCGTGACCTTGGACAAGTCACTTAACCTCCTTTAGCTAATTTCCTCTTCTGTTATAGAGGAGATTATGTTGCACTGGTTGGCTTCTGAGGTCTCTTCCAGCTCTACATGTAGGATCCTAGTATCCTCAATTCTGCAAAATAAAATGCTCTGGAAATACTAGGCACTTAAACGATGTTTATTTGAATTGAATAGAATATTCCAAGGATAGTGACAGAGAATACAGTATGTTAGCGAATACAAACACAGGGCTCTTGGGCTCTGAGATAGCAGTACCTCATATTTCTCTAGTGCTTGGAGGGTTTTGCAAAGTACTTTCTCCAGAATGTCCTTGAGAGGTGGGTAGTGCAAATGCTGTTAACCCCATTTTACAGATGAGGAAACTAAGGCTCCAAGGACTTCAAGGGATTGTGAAGGATCCTTAGGATCCAATGATCCTTGGATCTCTAGAGTTAGAAGGGACCTCAGAGGTATCTAGTCTATCTAATGCTCTCCATACAAGACCCAGGAGGGAATAGTAATGTTCTCCAAGTCACACATGGGTAGTAAACATAAGAGGTGGGGTTTCAATCCAGGTCACCTGACATCCTTTGGATCTCCACCAGGCTTCCTCTGAATGTATCATAGCACATTCGATCTAGAGTCAAAAGGGACTTTGGAGATCATCTAGTCCAACTTCCTCCTCTTATAGCCAGTAGACTGAGGATCACAGTGAAGTTCAAGGTCACACAAGTAGTAGACATCAGAGCCAGGATTTGAACTTGGGTCCCATTATTCCAAGTTCAGTACAATTGTACCCATTTCAAGGTCCAGCTCAAATGCCACTTCCTCCAGAAAAAAATTCTTTGATCTTCCCTCCCTACACTGACACAGTTCCTTCTTCTGAATACATAAAACATTGTTATCCTTCCCATATAGTGCTTTATGCTAGAATTATTGATCAACCAATCAACAAGCATATGTGTCAGGCTCTGCACTAGAAACTGATGCTACAGATACAAAGAATGATACAATCCTGCTTTTGAAGCACTTACATTCTACCTATGTATATACCTCATCTCCCTGACCAGCCTGTAAACTCTTCAAGGACAAAAGTCTGGTCTGACTCATCTTCAGGAGTATTTTGCCAAGGGCCTCACACATAATTGGCATTGGATAAGTATTGATTTGAAATGGAATTGTGTGCCTCTTAGGCACTAAGTGCGTATAGGCCCAGCTTTCCCTAGACCTTTGCTACAGTCCTGTGGGATGGAGATAAGAATTATTCCTCCCATTTTACAGGAAGGGAATCTGAGAGAACCATGGGAAGATTTGGATAAAATGATGCAGTGAAGTAATCAAAAAAGGAGAGAAACAGACAATAAGTAACATAGAGGAAAAGAAGAAAATGAAGGAGGTGTAATTGTAGCCAGCAATATTGAGCCCCACAAGAGAGGAAAGGAAGTGCATCTTCTTTATTCCAGATGGGATACAGTGTTGTGAACACCATCAGATTTGGTCACTGCATCACTGTTTTTCTTTGTCACAAAGGTAGGGGTGGAAGAGAATCCAAAAATTACTTTGATATAAAACAAAAAGGCATTGAATGCTATGTGATTATGATAGCCAAGCTTGGCCCTGAAAAGTATACCTTCCTGGCATCTGTACAGAGGTGGAGGACTATGGGTGTGAAACAGCGTGTACTATCAGATGGGATTGATCAATGTCAGTTTTGCTAAACTACTTTCCCCTCCCCTTCTTTTATTTTTATCCTTTTCTAAAGGATAACTCTCAGAGAAGGGGGGGATATCTTGGGAAATTAATGCAATGTAAAAACAAAAAGGATCCATTTTAAAAATTAAAGAAAAAGGACATAAATAGAACTTTTAAAAGAAGAAGTAAAGAGAAGCTGAGCCCCAGAATGGTTTGGTCACTTTCCCTAGGTCACCGAAATTAAAAGCCAGGACTACTCAGGCTTTCTATCCTGTAGATTAGGACATTCTCTTGGGACCAGGACCCAGGTGTCCTAACCACTCCTTTGTCTTCAGGGTCCAGCTCTGGCCCTGGCTGGACACTTGATGCTCTCAGGAAGGCACACCCTGCTCCAGTCATCTCTCCTGGCCCCTGGCCCTGTGCTTTGAACTCAGGATCTGATTACCTCCTTACCCCCCTATCTCTTCCACACACAACTACCTGTATTGTTGCTGGTTGGAAAGTTATCTGGCTCCTGGAAGCTGCCACAAGAGCTGACTCACTCACCTAGATTTGGCCCCTGAGACCAGGGAATTAGTGGACCCTGGGAACAACAGGTCCTTCATTCTGGGGCCATGCAGAGGGTAAAGTGGAGAGACAGTATGGCACCATGGAAAGAATGCTAGATTTGGGATCAGGAAACTTGGGGTCAAGCCCCAGTTCTGCTATTCACTACCTGTGTAACCCTGGGGAAGTCACTGCATGTCTCTAAGACTCAGTTTCCTCATCTATAAAATGAGGGTGTTGGACTAGATGAGGTTAATTCTATGAGCCAAGTATAAAACTGTAGGTCAAGCTATTCAAGAGTGGGAGGATTTAAATTATTAGACCTGATTTAAGTAGGATGGGAATTTAGGGGTCTCGGGCACACAGGTTCAAATACACCTGGACAAGATTCCCTCAGAGGACATTAATCAATCAACAAAGATTTATTAAGGACTTACTCTGTGTCAGGCATCGTGCTGGAGATAAAAAGACAAATAAAACAGCCCCTGCCCTCAAGGAGTTTGGGCATGGGTGGTGGGAAATGAGCAGGGGATAAAATTAATCTTGAGTGAGTCTCAAGGCCAAAGGTCCAGCTGGAGACACCCCCATCTCCCCAAATGTACACACTGACTCAGCAAACGGCCTCTCAACCCATCTAAGGAAGAGCACAGCTTTATGTTTCTCAGCATTAGAATTGTGCCTCTTTGCACACATTCTTGGCCAACCCCCTACCATGGACAGTACTTGGTGGCTTCTCCTTTTCTCAGGGACCTGAATGCAAATTGGTCCTTGCTGTCCTGCTGGCCAGCCTGGCACCACTGAGAGATGATAGTGCCAGTGAGGTAGAGGGGAGCAAGACAGGTATCAGATAGTGAAAGGGGAAGGGAGGAGAGGGTCAGAAAATGGAAGGGAAGGGAGGAAAGGGGATGGGAGGAAAGGTTTCGACGGGAGGGAAAGGAAAGGGGAGAGGGAAGAGAAGAGGTAGCACTCCTTGAGATGCTATAGAGAAGGAGATTATGGGTTACAGATCGAGACAAGAAGATAATGAACCAGCCTGAAAATTAAATAATGTACTTCTCCCTCACACACCTGACTCAGCTTCTCCCACAAACCCCTCCTCCCCAAACTAAGACCGGCGCACAAGCCTAGAGTACTACGTCAGACCCCATTGACATGGGCTCCTTTAGAGAGGCCCACAGGAAGTTGATGGAAGAGGGCCAGAGGGAAATTCGTTCTGTGGCCCACGCTGATGGGGAAACTGAGGCCAGGGGTGCGTAAATTCGGCGGATATCTTACAAAAACCCAAAAGTGCTAACCCCCTCTCCAGACGGCCACCTTCATCTACTTTTCCTGGACATGGAAAATCCCTTTGCTGCCTTCTCTTGTGCCCCGCCTCCCCTTCCTCACCGCCCACTCCCTTGTGGGTCCCCCGAGATCTGGCGACTTCCCTGCCCTGCAAAGCGTTCCCTGGGCCAAGAGTTAATGGGCCCTCTCCGGCTCCAGCCGGGTCTCGTCTCCCTCTCTCTACCTGGTTCTGCGTATTCTTCCATGTCTTCCTGGGGCAGGGGACGCAGCTATCAGTGGACTAGGAGCTACGGATCGCCTCCCCAGATGTTCCTCTCCTTCGGGTCCCAGGCAGCCAGATGCTCCGCCCTCCTCTGCCCTGCACAGACTGTCACAGCTCTGCTCCGCTCTGTTCTCCAGCGCCGGAGCGAGAAGGCTAGGCTGGCCAGCGCTTCTTAAAGGGAACCGCTTCCCCGCCCTAGCCCGCCGAACTCCTCCCCTGCCCTTGGCTCTGGGCCCAACTCGGCTCCGCTGGGAATGGAGGGTCAATACTGGCCCCTACTGCGGCGCATTTCCCTGCTCCATAGTCAGCTGTTTCGCCTTGTAGCGCGTAGAAGGCCACCTAGGAAGCCAGGAGTCCGCGGGGACTAGGAGATCATTTTCTAGGGGCATGAATGGACTGGGGGAGGGTGCCCTTTCAGAAAGAGGTCTAGGATGGAAGTCCGCACCTGCTGAAGTCAGCCAACTATCCTGGCCTAGATGGGGGGGGGGCGACAGAAGGAGGAATAGAAGGGGGAGGGGCTGCTTCTGGATCAAGTTAGATTGTAGAGGAGGCAGTGCCAATGGTCTGGGGGAAGGCTAGAAGTGGAGGGGAGGGGGACAGTGAATGCTGCAACCCAAAGTAGCAAGAGCATTGGCCTAAAAGTAGGAGACATAGGATTCTAGCCCTACTCTGCTGTGTATCACCTGAAGCATATCATTTTAAACCTTTTTGCGCCTCATTTTCTTCCTCTGGAAAACAAGGATCTTGGACTGAGCACTCTCTAAAGGACTACCCGATGCCCCCAACCCAGCTCTTGACATTCTCTGTTCCAAAGGACACCCCTCCCCCACATTCTAAGATCCCTTCCCAGCCCTGACATTCTCTGTTCTAAGGTCCCTTCCAGCTCTGGCATTCTTAGATCCTTCCTGGCTCTGATTTCTCTGTTCTGAGGCCCCTCCAGCCCTGACATTCTAGGTTGTAAGGTCACCTTCATCTCCAAATGTGTCTCCACTTGGGTTAGTATTTGGGGCAGAAGTTGGATAGGAAAACAGCAAATTAAAAGGCAAAAATTTTACCTAATTCTTCCCCTAGGAGAGTGATGATAGTATCTAGCTCCTCTAGACACTTCAGATAATTGGATTTCCCAGAGCGCTATGGAAACCCAAGTGGTTGGGGAGAGGGGCCTGAGGGGAAGGAGGAGGCCAGATTACCAATCTTAGCTCTGCTGATGTGACTTGAGGCAGAAGTGAGGGAGAAGTCACTTCTAGACTTCAGGCCCTCCTCCTCTTTCAAATAAGGGACTTGTATTAGACAATCTCATCTAAGGGCCCTCTTAATTCCTGTATTTGTGTAGTAAAATTACAGGCACACACACACACACACACACACACACACACACACACACACACACTCCCCTGACAGCCTGTTTTCTTAAGAGCCTTCCCTGCTCTGAGAGTCTGAATCAATATTCTAAGATCCCACCCAACTCTGACATTCCTAGTGCTAAAGTCTCTTCCAGGTCCAACTTTCTTTGCTCTAAGAAACCCTTCCAGTTCCAGCATGCCGAATTCTGAAGCCAAGGTGTGCGGCTGCAACACTCCTGAGTGCACGCTGAATCACATTAAAATGTAATTGAGAAATATTTAACCAAAAACTACAATAAGACATAAATAACATTAAATTTTAAAACTAAGTCAACATGCCACACACAGGGATACTTATGTACTGGCCTCCATTTCTATTTGAGATTGACACTATTGTTCTAAGAAGCACCTCCTTCCTCCCTCCAATTCTGACACTATGTTAAGAACTCTCAGAACTCAGTCTATGTTCTAAGGTGATAACCCACACACGTACACTCCAGCTCTGACATTCACCCTTTCTACTCTCACATTCTATGACCTAAGGGTCCTCAGAGCTCAGAAAGACTGTTTTAAGGTGCCACACCCATCCAGAGGCTCAGGCATGCGCGTGCACATACACACTGATATGTTCTAAAAGCTTTCCCAGCTGTTATACTTGGTTGTGAGAGTCTTTACCAATTCTGACATTCTCTGTTCTAAAAGATCCCTCCAGCTCTGACATTCTACGTTCTAAGGCACACGTCTAGCTCTGATGTATTTTCTAAGGCCCTCAGAACTCAGACTCCATGTTCTAAGATGCCACTCACCTGCCCACACATGCACGCACCCTACCACCACCACCCCCATACTCTATCTCTGACATTCTATATTCTAAGCTCTTTCCAAGCTGTAACATTCTGTCTGAGGGCCCTGTAGCTCTGACATCCTCTGTTCTAATATTCTCCCCAGCTCTAACACTACTCAGATTCTGGGATCCTGGGAATGGGCGGTCCTGGCAGCCTGGGATTGGGGGGTAGGGGGAAAGGAGGCGGGACTCTGCAGAGCCGAGGGGCGGGGCCTCAGCCCAGACCAGCGCTCACTCCGCCGGCTGAGCGGCCCGCCGCGCCCGGAGCTGGGAGGGGGTCCCCGCCGCGCAGGATGCTGGGGGTCTCCAAACGGCGTTGTCGAGGTCACTGCTGGGGGCGGGGGCGGTACGATGGGGAGCCGGGAGAGAGTCATCCAAAGAGGGAGGGGGCACGGCTCCCTGTGGCTCGGAGCCTTGCGGAGGGGCCGAGGCAGGAGCTGGGAGCTAGTGCGCCAGGGTCCTTGTCCCCCAAGGGCAGTGCCGCAGTGCAGGCCGGGCGGGGGCGCGCGGCGGAGGCAGCGACAGTAATTTTCCAGGCTGAATTGGCAGAAGCCAAGGGAGCTGGGCCCTCAGGGACCAGGAGATGGAACTGCGGAGGGCAGGGAGGGCGAGAGGCGGACAGGACAGGGAGCCAACCCAGCCCACTCCGCTGGTTTGACAACAGAGGAAACTGAGGTCCGCAGAGGGGCAAAAGCTTACCCAAGATCTCACTGCGGTTAACTGGATACCATTCACGAAAGTACTCGAGCAACAGATGCCCACACACGAACACGAGCACACACACACGTACACACAATTACTTTTAATTGTAGATTATCCCTGATAGAAATGGGACCCGGGACACAAATGATCCACAATACAAATAATCCCCAGAATGTATATATTCGGCTGTCAAATGTATATGAATATCGAAAGATCACTTTAAATTCCTAATCTGACTCTGCACAACGATGCTATGCATTTTAATGATATTTAAATGGAATGGAATTGGGGCATGAGCCTGGGCCGCAGCTCTGTCATTTACTGTAATCTGGCTGATTGTGGGAAGGTCACCGCGCCTCCTTGGGTCTCAATTTCCTTATTAGTAAAATGAGGGATTTGGATTAGAGCGTAAAGGTCTTTTCCAGCCCATACCCGCTGTCAACGGGGAGACGCCACTCTGAAGGGCCAATCAATCAATCAAGGCGCATTTATTAAGTGCCTACTATGTGCCAAGCACTGAGACAAAAGACAAAAATGAAACAGTCCCTGCCTTCTGGAGGTTTACGATCTAGCCAAGAGAGACAACACATACATATATACGTATATGCTAAAAAGATACTAGATAATTTGAGGGAGAGGCAGCAGGGGGTGGGATCAGGAAAAGCTTTATGTAAAGAAGAAAAGGAGTCTGTAAACTTAGCCTTTGTTTTTTAATGTTGATAATTGTACTATATAATATAATTGGTTTCCTTTGCAAATCCTTATTTTATTTTATGAATTTAACATTATTAACAACCATAGGCTTTGTACATATTTGCTTGTTTTCTTCTCCTTTAGATTTCGAGCTCCTTGAAGGCAGGGATTGTCTTTTTCTTCTTTTCATATCACCAATGTTTAGCACACTGCCTGGCACATAGTAGGCACTTAATACATGCTTATTGACCAAGTAATTGATTGACCAGACTGCCAAAGAGATCCATGGCATAAAAAAGGAAGGTTAACAACCCCCAGATGTTGCTTGAGCTTAAGGTAAAGGATTTGGAAGAGGAAAGAAAGGAAGGCATTCCAGGCATGAGGCAGAGAGGAGATATGGAGTTTTGTGTGTGAGGAACAGCAATGTCAGCTTGAAGGTTGTGAACCTAGATGATTAAAAGGGTAGGTTTTAAAAGAAGAGTGGCTTTGGAAGGAAAGATAATGAGTTCTGTTTTCAGTATGTTGAGTCTGAAATGACAGAATGTCATTCAGTTTGGAATAGGCGGTTAGTTAATGATGTGGGACTATAGCTCAGGAAAGAGGACAGATAGATAGATAGACAGACAGACAGACAGACAGATACAGACAGATCAGAAAATCATAGACATAACAACTGAACCCATGGGAAATGAAAGTTCTGAAGTGGTGGCTGTGCTTTTGTCCCTAACCCATCCCTAGCACTGTGGCTATGGTGCCTGAAGACAGCACTCCTCATAGGGGTGTGTGTGTGTGTGTGTGTGTGTGTGTGTGTGTGTGTGTGTGTGTGTGTGTGTCCCAGCACCTGGACCCAGGGCAATGCAGAATCCAGACTTCTGTGAAAGTATTTGTGCTGTATACGTTCACTTGGTAGAGCCATGGTCAGTGTAGACACTGCCTTTTACAGGCATGTTTCCACTATTTTTGTGTGTCCCCAACACAGATCGTGGCCATTATAGACACTGGACCTCACAGACCTGTGTCTGGTGTTTGCAGATCCCCAGCCCGTCCTGACTATTGGTACCATGGCTTCCATCAATGACTTACCCAATAATATCCTTCTGGAGCTGTTCTCCCTGGTGCCAGCCCGGCAGCTCCTGCTGCACTGCCGGCCAGTCTGCAGCCTGTGGAGGGACCTCATCGACCTGGTGTCCCTGTGGAAGCTGAAGTGCCAGCGTGAGGGCTTCATTCCCAAGAAGTGGGGCCAGCCTGTGTCTGACTGGAAGGTTTTCTACTTCCTCTGCAGCCTCCGGAGGAACCTGATCCGAAACCCCTGTGCTGAAGGTGGGTTCCTTGTCCTTGGTACTATAATAGAGTCTATCCATGGAGAAGCTACAGTGTAGATATCAGTAGTATACATCACAGTAGCCATACAGTGTAGACACCTAGAGCATATATCTCAACTGCACAAGATAGCTAGAATATACATTATTCTCATAGTACCTTGTACACAGTATAGATACCTATAGTATGCCATACAGAAAATCAATATACTATGTACCCCCACAATGTACATTATAGTCATTATACCATGTAGAGATCCAGTGTAGACACTTATAGCATACGTGACTACAACAGCCTATTGTAAATGTCATAGTGTATGTGACTCTGACTATACAGAATGAGTAGCTATAATGTGCACTACGTACTGTACAGTATAGATAGGCATGGCATATATAATACTAGCTGACATTTGTATGCAAACATATATGCAGAGGGGCAGCTAGGTGGTGAGGTGAATAGACTGCCAGGCCTGGAGTCAGGAAGACTCTAAGTTTAAATCTGGCTTCAGACACTTAACTAGCTATGTGGCCCTGGGCAAGTCACTTCACCCTGCTTGCCTCAGTTTCCTCATCTGTAAAATGAGCTGGAGAAGGAAATGGCCAACCACTCCAGTATTTCTGCCAAGAAAACCCCAAATGGGGTCACAGAGAGTCAGACATGATTGAAAACAACTGAACATCATGTAATATATGTATCTCACTTTAAGGTTTACAAAGCCCTTTACGTATGTTTCTTCACAACAACCCTTCAAGGTAAGTATTCCTATTATCCAGCATTTTGCAGCTAAGGAAACTGAGACAAGGAAGTTAAGTGACTTGCCCATGATCAGAAAACTAAGACGTGCAGGACTACCCTACCTAGTCTCTCCTAACTCCAAGTCCTGCGGGCATTCAGCTGCACGAAGCTGTGTCTCTGTTTACATGGCATAGACACATTAAGTGAACGTGATACCAACTGGCCAGAGTAGACACTCAGAGTATGCATAACCCTAAGTATATAGTGTAGATACCTATGAAATGCATGCTACAGACTGCATAGGGCCTATACCTGTATAGTATATAAGACAACTTAACGATACAGATACTTACAGTATACATTATAGGACAGACAACCATGGTATCTATGGCACAGGTTACATACTGTCTACACTTGCAATGTTCAAGACACCAGTAGGTAACATACATAATTATAGTATTCATAGGGTACGTGACATTGGCTGTATAGTATAGGCATCTATGATATATATGGCATGTGCTGAATGTTGTCTATGCCAGGAGTATATAAAATAGGAAGGAGACAGGAGTTCAAATTTGGCCTCAAGGGGCAGCTAGGTGGCGCAGTGGATAGAGCACCGGCCCCAAAGTCAGGAGGACTTGAGTTCAAATCCGACCTCAGACCAAACACTTGACACTTACTAGCTGCGTGACCCTGGGCAGCTCAACTTAGCCTCTGTCTACTTCAGTTTCATCATCTATAAACCAGGGACAATAATCACCCCTATTACTCCCCAGGGTTGTTGGAAGACTCAAATGAGATAATATTTGTAAAGAACTTTGTAAATCTTTTTTTTAAATAATTAATTTGTTTCTTTTTAGTTTTCAACATTCACTTCCATAAGATTTTGAGTTTTAAATTTTCTCCCCCTCTCTCTCCTGCCCCCCCAAGACGGGGATGCAATCTGATATAGGCTCCACTTAGACATTCAAATTAAGCATATTTTCCCATTAGTCATGATGTAAAGAACAATTAGAACTAATGGGAGAAACCACAAGGATGAAGCAATAAAACAAAACAACAAAGGAAAAGGAGAGCAAATAGTCTGCTTCAATCTGCATTCAGGCTCCCTGGTTCTTTCTCTGGATGTGGACAGCATTTTCCATCATGAGTCTTTTGGAGTTGTTTTAGATCCTTGCATTGCTGAGAAGAGCCAAGTCCATCAAAGTCAGTCATAGCACAGTGAACTTTGTAAATCTTAGAGTGCTATATAAATTATTTTGTTATTGTTGAGCCATTTCAGTTGTGTCTGATTCTTCAGGACCTCATTTGGTATTTTCTTGGCAAAGATACCGGAGTGGTTTGCCATTTCCTTCTCTAGCTCATTTGACAGATGAGGAAACTGAGGCAAACAAGGTGAAGTGACTTGCCCAAGGTCATACAGCTAGTGAGTATCTGAGGCCAGATTTAAACTCAGAAAGAGGGGTCCTCCTAAACCCAGGCCCAGTGGTCTATCCACTTCGCCACCTAGCTGCCCTTCCTAGTATAGACACTCACAGTGTATGTGACTGTTGTGTGTATATATAGATATAGATGTGTATATATGTGTGTGTATGTATATATGTATGTATACATTTATACACATATTTTATATAACATACATATATTTGTCAAGTAGAGTCTTTTATTTCTGTCTTTCCCCAGAGAGAGCTGCCTACCCTCTCCCAGCCCCAGTCTAGTACTCTCTCTCCCTTCCTACTTTCCCCTCTCCCCAAGCTGTTGGCACTGTCCAGGCTCCAGCCCCAGTCAGGGGTAAGGAGACAAAGGGGGAGCCCCCCAGCACAGAGTGTTCCTAAACCCACAGTCCATACTCATGTGTACAGGGCACTAACTGGACAGTGTAGACACCAATACTGTTCATCACTCTGGAGATACAGTATAACCCACCTACAGGTTGTCATGAATGGCACCAGCCCTCCACAGCATACAATGCAATCTGTTCATGGCTCTCTGTGACTCTCTACCATGTGCCACACACCGTGGACGCAGAGCCTGAGACTGCCTGGCTTATATCATAAACATTGTTGCCGGGCACTTTTCTGTGATCTAGATTCTACTCAAGCCATGAGGCACGCCACATGGTATCCCTTGCAGAAATCATCAAGCATTACCCAGCAGGTGAGGGAAGGCTCAGAGACAGGTCCCAGCCAGCTCCTCACAGCCCCCTCCTTTCAAAAATAAGAGTGACTCACGAGCACGCATTCAGAGGTATCGTCTCCCATTGCCACCTCCCACCTCTAATGTCACTGTCACTGTGAGAAGGCAGGGGAGGAAGACAGAACCTGGCTGTAAAGGAGTGAGTTCCTCAGAGCTTCTAAATGGGAGGACGGCAATGTACAAGCCCAGATCAGTGGTTCAGTGGGAAAGAGCATGGAACCAGAGGAGCTGAGTGGGAATCTTGGTTCTATTATGTGACTTTTGCCCTCTCCCAGCCTCTGCTTCCTTCTATGTAAATCAAGGGGTTGGACTAGATGCTCCCCCAGCTTTAAGTCTGTCATCCTGTTTCATCAACAAGCATCCACCCCCACCCCTGGGCCTCAGTGAGGACAGGTGGTGACAGAGGTGATAACCTCAGCACAGCCCTGAAGGAGGCTGCCCCCTCTAATTTTTGCTCTGCTCCCCAATAGAAGGCTTTGAATTTTGGACCCTGGATGTGAACGGAGGAGATGAGTGGAAAGTGGAAGACTTGCCGGGGGACCACGGGAGGGTGTTTCCCAACTCCCACGTCAAGAAATACTTTGTCACGTCTTATTAGTAAGAATTGGGTTTGGTGGGGGTGGGGAGACCGTCTTGGCCCCAGGGAAAGGGGCTATTGGTGGATGGTGGAAAGGGAGCTGGTGAGCTTCATGGGGAGGGATCTCCACATCCTCTTGCCCCACCTGTCACAGATGACTGACCCAAAAGAAGTCCACAGGCTGGGGGCCATGGAATGAATGATTTGAACCCAGGATCCCTCATGGTGACCAGGCTGCCCAGGGGCTGGGGACTAGGGACAGGGCGAGGATGTATGGAAGACCTGAGACACCTCCTCAGTGTGACCATGAGATGAACATCTCCCCTGGGGTCCCTCCCCCTATACATTTCCCCCAGCACCTGCCTCAAGTCTCAATTGGTGGACCTGAAAGCTGAAGGATATTGGGAAGAGCTGATGGACCGGACTAGGCCAGACATTGTGGTCAAGGATTGGTGAGTCATGGTGGGAGGAAGGTGTCCGGCTCCCTTAAGATTGTTCTAGTAGTTGAGTGATTGTCCTGCCCTGATCTTGCTGAGAGTAGGCAAAAGGACAGGAGGGAATCCATGTGGATATGGGCAGGAAGAAAGTGAGGATACCCCAGGGACCTCCTCTGGATTCTATTCTTCTCATTCAGTAATTCACGTGAATGTCTGTTGACAGACATTTATAGGCATGGTGTTGCATGGCAGGTACACACATGTGTATGTCACAGTCCCTTCCAGCCAGGGTGGAGAGCACTTGCCTGCTGCTGGTAAGGGGATGACATTCATTCTGCTTGGCCTCAGGGGAAGAACTAACAGCCATGAGTGGAAGGTACAAAGACAGGCTTTACATAATTTTGTTTTTAACAAGTTCCCAGTGACCAAACTACTCCAAAGTCCATAAGTGGTTATACATCTCTACCTAGATGAGTCATCTTGTCCAAACCAGAACTCATCAGCCTTTCCCCTAAACCATCCTTCTTGCTTATGTTGAGGGCACGACCATTCTCTGAATTCAACATCCCACTTCTCACCACCTTGCATTTGCACCCTTTTGTAGTCAGTTCCTGATTTCCACCACCCACGCCCCCTTCTTCCTCAAACCTCCCCAGGTTTGCTGCCAGACAAGACTGTGGCTGCAAGTATCAGGTCTGTGTACAGCTCCTGTCTTCAGGGCATGTGCCTCTGGGCACCTTCCAGCCAGATCCTGTTGCCATCCAGCAGTGGAGTGATGCCAAGTGGAGAGAGGTGAGGAAGGAGAAAGAGTGGGATATAGAATGGCCTCTCACTTGGAGGGGATTTCCCAGTATCTAAGACCACGATGGCCAGGGGAACCACCCAGCCCAGATCCTTTCTTCCATAGCCCGGCCAAAGGAGCACTAGACCGGAGGCCAGGGGGATTGGTGAAATGCTTAACATGGAGTCAGATGATGGCAAGTCTCAGCTCTTCCACCTACAATACAATTAACAAGAACACCTCCTGGGCTAGTTGCTGCCTTGGGAGTTATGTAAAGATCAGAAAAGATAAATATTCCCTATCTTCTTTGACCTTACAATCTACTAAGTGGATAAGGCAGCAGTAACACAACAGTATATGCTAAGTACTTTAGAGGTACTTTAAGTGGTCTGTGTGGCTTTTAAGGGGAAAAGTGGAGGGTACAAGTTCACATCTCCTTCTTTCTGGGCCTAGGTTTCCTCATCTGTAGTTAGAGGGTTAAACAAGACTATTGGTTTCTAATTTTTTTTTCCACACATGGCACAGTATTATTCTTTGGTATGAAGAGCCAAGGTGCATTGAACAGTTGACAACAGCACAGAAAAGTCAGCAGACTCTCATGTACAAATAATAATAATAGCCAGCGTTTCTACAGCACTTAAAGATTTGGAAAGAGTTTTGTAAATAGGATCTCATTTCATTGTCACAGAAATCCTGGGATGTAGGTGCTATTATTATTTCCATTTTTACAGATGAGGAAACTGAGGCAGATATCAGTTAGATGATTTGCCCAAGGTCACAAAGCTAGTGTCTGAGGCTGGATTTGAACTCAGGTCTTCCTGACTCCAGGCTCAACGTTATCCATTGTACCCCTAGCTTGCCTGTCGTTCCAAGTATAAATTCAATGTAATTCTTGGCACATCTTTTAACATTGCTGGACCACAACAATGGTTCCCCGCCCTTTTTGTGAGTATAGGGCCTCTTCCTATCATCAAAATGTTTTGCAGCCAATTCCTTTGATGGTAGTTGTGCCTTTGATAGCCATTAATTGGTAGAATATTCATTTCTCAAAAAATAACCTTGAGACTCAGGGCCTTGGAGCCCACAGATTGTGAACCCCTGGACAAGATGATCTCTAAGCACCTTCCTAACTTTCTATCCCAATAAATCACATAGATTGTAGAGTGGCTTCACAAGGGACTCATAGGATGCTAAGTATAGCCTTGGTCCCCTGGTTCCCTGCTCCCCTGGGTTGGTTTCCTCGGGCCGGGGTTGAATAGACCCTCTCCCTCAGCCCTCCTCCTCTTCCCTTCTTCCAGGTCTCCCACACATTCTCCAACTATCCACCTGGTGTTCGCTATATCTGGTTTCAGCATGGAGGAGTAGACACACACTACTGGGCAGGCTGGTATGGTCCCCGAGTTACCAACAGTAGCATCACCATTGGTCCCGAGTTGACCTGAGTCAACCCACAGCCCACCACTGCTGTACCCTGACCTACTGGTGAGTAAGCTTCATGAGGCTGTCCCTCAGTCTGGGCCTTTAAGAGGAGGCAGCTGGACATGGTATATTCCTTCCAGCTCAGTGACTTCTTACCTCAGTGAAGTTGGGCAAGACATTTCCATTCTCTAGGCCTCAATTTCCACATCTATAAAATGAATTAGACTGGCTGATTGCTAAGGTCCTGTCCAGCTCTATCTGTGTTCTTAGGCCTCTCCCAGCTCCAGGGTCTCTGGTTTGAACATTTTATGTCCTGAAGTTTCTGTAGGCTCTGACATTGTGTTCCAAGGCCCATCCCAGCTCTGACATTCTCTATGCTAAGGCTCCTCCCAGTTCTGACATCAGGTTTTAAAGCCTCTCCCACCTCTGACCTTCTGTGTCCTAAGGACCCTTCTAGCTTTGACATCTCTTCTAAGGCCCCTCCCAACTCTGTTATTTTATGTTTTAAAGCCCCATCCTGTCCAATCATTTTCTGTGCTAGGATTTCTTCCAGCTCTAACATTCTGTCCCCAGGTCCTGCTCAGCTATGACGTTGTATCTTCCAAAGTCTCTCCCAGCTCCACATTCTCTGTTGTAAGGTTCTCCCAGCTTTGATACTCTGTATTCTAAGGCCTCTCCCAGCTCTAACATTCTCCATTCTGTTCCTCTTCTCTAACAGCTCCATCATCCTAGGTCCTCCTTCTTTGCACTGCTGTTACAGTCAACTCTCAATTATCCAGGGACTGTGAGCCTGACAGGTACATTATCCAGGCCCCTCTCCATCGCATGATGATTCCTGGTTGCCATCGGAGCAGCGTGATACATTGGAAAGAAATCACTGGACCTGAAGTTAGGAGATGTGGGTTTGAATTCTCAGCTCTAATGCTTCCTGTGTGACCTGGAGCCAAGTCACTGCAATTCCTCTGAGCCTCAGTTTATTGTTCTGTAAAATGGGGATGAGTCCAGGATGGTGCTGAGGAAAGCATTTTGTAACCCTTAAGGATAATATAGAAATGAGAATTATTATGATTATTGCACAGAGACCCCTGTGCTCTAGAGAGCACTTTCGAGAATATTTCATTCCCATGGGAAAAGCAAGGCAGATACCAGCATGTCCGTCTTTCAGAGGAAGAAACTGAGGCTCAGAGAGAGAAAGAGACTTGGCCAAGGTCACACAGAGAGGTAGTGGCCAGGACTAAAGTCCAGGTCCCTTTCTGCTGCCTGCTTCCAAGGCCCTCTCTTCGTTAGTGCCTCTGACCAGAGAAGGGGTAAGTAAGGACCTAGAAGTCGCCCAGACCTCTTTGGGACAATTGGAGAGCAGTTCAGGGGAAGGCTCACGGGGGCTTTGGAGCACAGGGGGGTTTGAGATCTAAGCTGGAGTCTGGGATCCTCCCAGCCTAGTGCGGATAGTGGCGAGTTGACTAGCTAACTCACCAGCCGCTTTGAACTGTCTTTTCTCCCCCACTTTTCCAGTCCTTCTCACTGTCCCCTATTTCTAATCACCAGTCTCTCCTTTCTAAGGCTTGAAAAGGCACCAGGGCTGAGCTTATCAGCTGTGGCCCTGGGAGCCATTAAGAGCTTCTGGGAGAGAGAGAGAGGGGGGAGATAGATTGCTGGACCAGCCCCCCCCCACTGAGGGTGAGGCCAGTTTCCATGCTTAATTCTTCTTTGACACCTTGTCCCCCAGGCAGATGGTGCTTTAGCCCCAGAGAGAACAGAGGTCCAAGGAAGACCCTGGGTGGAGAGTGGGATGAGTTAGGTGAATCTAGGGCAGGCAAGGTCCTGCTGATCCTGAATTGTCCACAGGAGGGCGAGGTGGCATGTGGGGTCTGCCTCAAGGTGGACCCAAATGCCTAGGGCCTAATCAGACCCCAGGATTCAACTTGGGCAGATGGGGATCAAGGAAAAGAGTGCCCTCTCCCCAACAGCCAGATAACACCAGCCCCCTCCCTCCCCTTTAGGTGAAGGGCTGTCCCTCCTCCTGGGCTTGGGTATCCTCCCCCACCTGCCCTCTCTCCTAATAGCCCCCATGGGCCAAGCCTTGCCTACACTAACGAGTAATCAGAAGCTCCTGGTGGGAGCTGCCATTCTCAGGATTCCCCCCTCCCCCTCCCTCCTGCTGCTTTGAACCCCACACCTTCCTGCTCAAGTGCCATCAGTTTTCCTCCTCAGATTCTTCTCTTTGGAGCAAGTAGCCAAATAAAAGGTGTTTGAGGTCAAACCTGTCAGCTGTGGTTCCTGGGGGCAGCCTCAGTGTTCTCCTCTGAAAAATGGGGCGGTCAGAATGGGGAGGCACCAAATGATGTCTCAGGTCCCTTCTGGCTCTAAATCCTGTGATCCTAGGACAGAGGAAAACTTGGATTCTCTGCCAGAGTCCAGAAGAGGGTGGTAGTAGAAGCAATGTGACCTCTCCCCCAGGCTGCCACCCACACCCTCGAGGCTTATCAGGTTAATGATGTTACCTGAAAGAAGGAGGGAGCACGGGAGAAGCTGCACCCAGGGACTAGGGTCCAGATCTATGGGTTGGAGCCCCAAACTGGAAATTAAATCTATGTCAGGGCCAGAGGCTGTGCCCCAAATCTCACATGCTGCCTTAGAGAGGACAGGGCAGTAGTAGATTGGGGAGGCAGGCCTGCAGGAGGCAAGGTGAGGGTGTTGGGGACTAGGAGAGCAAGAAAGAGATGGAGGAAGCTCAGCCTCAGAACTTCCTGTCTGAAAACGGATCTAGTTCCCTAGAAGGAGCCGAAGCTGCCCTACTGAGGTTGTGATCTGACTGCCAGTGGAGGAATTGAGTCGGAGACTAGAGGCTGTAGATAAGACTCCTGCAAGAGCTGGGAGATGTCCCTTCTAGCTGCAAGAATGAAATGCAAGAATTAAAAAAAAAAAACCACAAGCCTTGGGAGGCCGAGGAGAGGGTTTAGATTCTGGCTGTGCCACATGGGTCTCTTTGGGCAAGTCATGTCTTTGCCCTTGGTTTCGTCGTGGATAAAATGAGGGAGTTGAACTGACTAGCATCTCTAAGGCCTAGGACCCTCTTAGCCTGAGCTAAGGAGGTCAGTGTGATCCCAGGGTCCAGGGCGTAGAAGCATTTGCTGACTGGCCACTGGGGTTTTGCAGAGACAAAAACAGAGCCCAGTGCTGGGGTGAGACCCTGATGGCTCCAACCCTGCCTCTTCTTGCTTCCCAGAAGGCAGAATAGAGGCTTGAGTGAAAGGAAGAACAGCCATTTCAAGGCCTCTGGTGAGTGAAATTGAGCCCAAAAAGCTCAGGGGTTAATAAGAGCAATGTGTTCTTGGTTACTAGGAGAAATGTGCATCAGAGCACATCCCTCATTCTGAAGTGATCTGTAGCTAGCTCACTTGGGCTGTGGTTAGATTCGCTCAGCTGCAGCAGTCTGCAGAGTAGAGAAGGCAGTCGCTGTGAGAGTGACGGCACCAAGAAGTGACAGGGAGGCGAGCACGGGTGAGATGGCTTGCTGAGGGGAGCAGAGGATGGGGCATCTGTCTGCACATAGGCTGCTGGCCTCTGTACTGTTAACCCTCTGCAGCCTCATCCTTACAACCGGGTTGGTCCCAGGATGGCCTGGTGAGTTGGGGGCTGGAAAGGGCTGAATGCAGGCTCCTATCACCTCTCAGCTTAGACTCCCAATGATAGACTCTCCCTTCTATGAGATCTGGCCTCAGTGCAGCTGCCAAAGTAATCAGGCCTGACCATGCCATTCTCCCCTTCTGAAAACCTTCAGTGGCTCACTATTACCTCCAGGATGCAATAGGAATGTCTCAGCCTGACATAGTCTGACCCCAGCCTGCCTCACGATTATCCCCTGCACCCACTCTCTATTTCAATTAAACTAGATCATTAACTGACCCCAGAGTCAGAATGTCATTATCTCCAGTGCCTCCAGATAATTTCATTTTCTCTAGGCCCCTGGACCTAGAATAAATGGGCCTAGAATACATATCAAATCACTTTTCAAAATATTTATTTATGCTCCCTTTAAGATTCAGTTCAGGTGCCACAAGGCCCTCTCTCAATTCCTTTCCACCCCCAGCTGTTAGCACTCTCCAAATTGTCTTGTGTTTGCCTACTGTCATAAAATAATGAATAAAGAACGTCGTCAAATAAATGTGTGATCCAAAAAAGAATATGGGCTGGTCACATAGCAAGAGGAAAGGGATAATAATAACTAGTATTTACAATCTTTATCTTATTTGTACCTTACAACAACCTTGTGAGGTGGGCACTATTCTTAACCCCCTTCAAGAGATGAGGATGTGTCGCCCAAGTACTTCAGGGAAGGCTACCCGCAGGTTGGGTGAACTCCCTGTGGCAAACTCAGAGGAGGGCAAGAGCCATACAGGATGGGGAGGCATGGATGGATGAGAGGCACAAATACAGTAGAGTATTGGAGTATAAGTCATATCCCTTGCCCATCAACTGGGGAATAGCTGAACAAGTTGTGATATATGATTTCGATGGAATACTATTGTGCTATAAGAAAGGGTGAGCAGAATGGTTTCAGAAAAGACTGGGAAGATTTATATGAACTGATGCAAAGTGAAGTGAGCAGAACCAAGAAAACATTGTATACAATAAATATTGTATGCAATGATCATCTGTGAATGACTTAGCTGTTCTCAGCAATGCAGTGATCCAAGACAATTCCAAAGGAGTCATGATGAAAAATGCTATCCACACCCAGAGAAAGAACTGATGGAATCTGAATGCAGATCAAAGCATACTGCTTTTCACTTTTTTTTTTCATGGTTTTTCTCCCTTTGGCTCTGTGTCTTTTCACAACATAACTAATATGGAGAAAATGTATAAAATAAAATATTTAGGATTACAAAGGAAAAAAAAAACCAAGTTGAATCCCCCAGGAGAATGTAAGCTTATTTCTCTTTATATCCCCAGTGCCTAGAATGAGCTTAACACATTTGCTGATTTTTTAATTTGGATTTACCCGGACCACCTTGACACAATCTCTGTAGATTACAGACATTTGAAATCCCTCATACTCATTTCCCCTACCCCCAAAACACTTATGGACCACCCTCCATCTCTTAGTTGGTTCCATGTCAAAGAAGGATTAACTTAATGTTTCCTGAAATGAGCACAGAGAAGAAAGGAAATCTGACTTCTAAGAGTTAGATAAACCTGGGCTGGAATCTTGCCTCTAACACCAGCTGTGATCATGGACATATCACCCAACTACTCTGGGCCTCGGTTTCTTTATCTCAAAAATTGGAGTTTGTGTAAAATATCTGTTATACCTCTCAGAGATATTGTGAGGATCAGAGGAAATAAAGTGTAGAAATTGATTTGCAAAAATAAAATCCTATTTAAGTGTCAACTATAATTACCATAATAGAGAATTAGAGAAGATGGGTTAAGGATGAGACTAAGTGCAAAATTAGAAATTATTAATAAGCAGAACCAAGCGTAGTAAATATGGGAATGGCCTTGGAGTCAGGAAGACTTGGGCTCAAATCCTGAGCCACGACTTGTATTGGCTGTGGGACCTTGGCCAGGTCACCTTCCCAGACAACTCTGAGACTATAAATTGCCAAGAAGGTGCCAACCTGCATCAGAAGAGGGAATTCTGCAATGAGAGTTCCTTATATCAATGAAATCACCAGTCGGATAAAAAAAAAATCAGTATTATGATGACTATTATAATATCACATAGGTAAATATCAAATTGACTGAGGGAGTTAATATGGGATTATTTATGTCTGTGCTTTCCTTTGCTAGTGTAGATATTTGGGAGATGGCTCTGGTAACCCTGCAGGCCCCACAGTCTAGTTACACTGTTTAATAATCAGCGATGGAAAGAATGCTGGACAAGGAGAGACCTAGGTTCCATCCTGACTCTAACACCAACTGGCTATGAGACCTTGGACAATTCACTTA